ATCAATCTACAACGATCACAAACATTATTTCGAAATCATCATGTAACGATTTTAATGGTGGTATACGTACGTATTACATTTTTTATTTAAAAATTTACATAATATTTTTCTTTGTTACCAAAACGTATACATTGAAAAATAAGAAACAAAATTAACGACATCTACCCTTCGCTTCGATTTATTCCTCCTCTACCTTTTATGGCCATATTCGATTTATTCCACTACAATCTTCCCCTACGGTCGCTTGGCAACCACAACGGCCTCCGCCTCTGAAGCACACATCACTTGACTACGCGTCCCCGCCCACACCTCCCCAGTCCCCTCCTCGCCTCTCTCCCCGATGTGAAATACAATTTCCGAGGCGAATCGCACAACAACGAGAGAAAAGGCCGCGCGCGGCCGGGGCGCGGGGGGCGAGGGGGTGAGGAGGTGAGGAGGCGCGGGGACGTCGGGACGCGGGGACGAGGCGCACCGCGGGGCGTGCGCGCGGCTTAATGTGCTTTTCAGATCGCTCGAAATGATCTGGCGCGGGGAACCGGTTTTCCCGACTGAGTGAGATCCATAAGAAGAGAGAAATTTGTGAAGAATAGGGAGAAGTTTTCTTCTCTTTGGGAAGACGTCAAAATGGAATGTGTAATTAAAGTTAAGTATCTGCATCGTGGCAGTCGTATATGTTTTAGAGTGCCTTTTTTTCCGGCGCGGGGGCAAGAAAACAATGCTATTTGTTTGTGGCCGGCTGTCGAACATAGTTTTAAGATGTAAGGCGTCCCCGTAGCCACACGACGTAATAGCACGATGGAGCCAACCGGTTCCGCGGATGGCGGCGGCGGCGGTGCGGTGGCGGCCGGCAGGCGCCCCGCCCGACGCCCCTCCCACCCCCTGCTAAATAATTTAATTACACCGGCGCAGGAGCGGCCGGGCGGCCCTTCGCGCCCCAAAGCCACTCGCCGCTCCAGCCACCCCCGGCGTCCGCCCTCGCTCCCCACGCCCGGGTTTACATGGAGCGACCCGCACTCCGCACTGCGGCGGCAACCGCTCTTTGCTAGGGTTGTGGGTTTTACCCCGTGTAATCAGGGCCTGGAGACGAACAGCCGAATGAATATTGATTCCGAACGCGTCAATTTCTTTTGTTATTAGTCATGTAAGTGTAGAGCATGTTATGTCCCTGAGGGGGGGGGGGCTGGAGGCGGCGATCCGTGAGATACTACACTTCCAAGAATCTCTGTCAGCTTGATAGCGCCAGAGCTGGATTAAGCTCTAAGCTGACGGCTGGTGGCCCGGCATCTGTGGTAGAATAGTACATGACAGAATACACTTCCCATTTTCCTCAAATACTTACTTTACGTCTTTTTACGTAGAAGTCAGAAATTAATTACGAACACATTTCGTGTCTTCACGTTATTGAATAATCATATTTATGGTACCTAAAATACCTATTTCACCATTAAAGCCTGAAATTATCTAATTGTCCGGTGAAAGCGTAAACTATGCTCAGCGTAAATGCAGCCTTTGGACATAAAGCTCGAACGCGATTCTACGCTGACAAGGGAGATGCATTGTCGAACAAGAGTCACTTGTGGTTTAAAGGGATAGGATAAAGAATGTAAACAGAATCCTGACTGCAAAGCTTGATTTACGATGTTGCAAAATGGTCATTCAGCCTCTCACAACGTGATACCTCAAAAAACTGCAATACCATCCGCTTCGTTCTCACTTAAAGAAATGTTACAAAGATTCGGTGATATGTGAAGAAACTTTCACACGAATAAAGCGTGTCAGCGCTCATCTAGGCCACGCAATAAAATACACGGTTTCTTGCAGTCTTTTAACACAATTGGTCCAGGGTCTGACTAAGAACCTGTGCTACAACATATATTGCAATAGGAGGAACAACGTTCACCACCCAGACCTCTTAGCAGTTTACATCAGGGACCATAGATGAAACATGGGACGCGAAGAGAAGAATTGAAATCGGGGCGAAAGTTTTCATATTTCAAACTGTTAAACGTGCATATTTATTTGAAATTGTTTATTACATTTAATTTGTTATTTTTGATGTTGACTCTTTCTTTCTCATAGAAACATTTGTGTCGAAAAATACAGCGAAAAAAATATTCTCGTATTTTCTGTCGATGTTTTTCATCTACACTCTTACATTCAGAAGGAGAGTCACAGAAATGTTAGAGTTTGAGCGTCCAAGAAATAGTGTTTCCTCTCAATATTTACAATATTCATTTGATATCAAAATTTTTGAGAACGATGTGGAAAAATCTAACCAAGTTCACAATACGGAAGAAAACAAAAATCCATATTCCATAATTCAACTACATCTCCGCTATTTCCATAGTTCACTGACTCATTAGTTTTATTCTTAATCGATCTTGCCAAGTATTCCTCTGCTCATCTCTTGCGGTTTTCATGTCCGACTTCATCTACTCTTGCTTCGTTTCGCCGCTAGGCAACGCCACAGTCCAGCATGCAAAACAGAACCACGGACGCGGCATGAATTGAGCCACAGATGCCCAACCTTCATCTCAAACGCACGAGGAAGGAGTGTAAACCGGTAGAAAATATTGGTTCAAAGTTCATGCACGCTTTGTACAGCCTCAATCAAAGAGCATCACCAATTACTAGTTAATAAAGTACTTTAGGTATTCTAATGGCTTAAAGGCCTTCGGCCTAGCCACACAGAATCAAATAAGCTAATTTGTTTGTAATAATTACCTATTAAATAAATAATAAATACTTAATCTAAACATTTTAGTTAACATGCTAAAATTTGAATAATTATCTAATTCTGAACACGAGAAAAATACATTGTATTTCCAGGTAATCACTTACAATTTATTACATCATAATTAACGATAACGAGTTTATTATTTGTTTACTATGGACTTAAAGCATATAATTCAGCTAACCTTCCTGCTTTTTTCAAGTGATGTTCTGAACTACAATGACATTGAACGAATTCTTGATATTAATGTGTACTATAAAAACTTTGATTACCTTCTCAAAAATTAATAATATTCTTGTTGAAGTATTATTATTTTCCATGCTATGCTTTTTGAAAAAGGGACATGAGCACATATTTTACTATAATAGCCTTACACACCCACATGTGACGAATGGTTCTTGAATGCAAAATTGCAAAATAAACAGCAATTATAACTAGATGTATAGAATTATTTTAAACATTATGACAGTGTGGTCCCAGATACATTGCTGTGTTGTAATATAAATTACTCAATTTCTCTCTCGATGTGATTATTCATTTGGCATTAGCCCATTTTTACTTCATTTATTTTCCCAGACCCACTCTCAATGTTACTAAAAACTTTCCACTTAGCATGCATTATGACCTAGTATGAATCGAAAGAGAATAAAAGTGCCCAAACTTCATGTATTTGAGGGTTTTCTCTAATTAATATATCCGCTTGTATCATGCAAGAAAAAAGCCTGGATGTTATTGTGAAAATGACACTTCATTTATTATTCCAGACTCACTCTCTAACTCCTGTACGTAATGTATATCCAATAAAGGTATGCGCTAAAATAAAATACGACGCCTATTGAATCATTTTAAGTTTTAATTAAAAAAGCTAAGCAGAAAATTAACAACGTAAATAGGAAGATTAATATTTTGGCAGCGATGGGCGTAACCTTCACCGATGCAGCCCTCCTTTTGAAGGCCATGGCTTTTCATGAATATTTGCTACATACAAATGATCTAGCGGATGTTTTGTTCTTCTTCTTCTTATTATTATTATTAACATTATTATTGTTATTGTATATTATATTGTTTCAAAATTATTGGTATTATTTAATACCTTTCGGATTGTCTAGGTCGCCTTCCATTGGTTCGCCAGATTCAATGATGTAAAATCCGGCTCCATCTCGTTTTACACTTCCAGCTCGTTTTACGATTCTAACTCATCCTCCAGACTAACTTTAGAAACGACGCATTTAAGCTTCTCATAGACACTTTTTGGTAGTTTTTGGAGCATTTTCAAGAAACAAGCTTTAATAAAACTGGGAGCAGGAGGTAACAATGTTGTGACAGTTGCAGGACCATTTTTTGTTATTTTTCTTCTGCGCTCTTCTGCATCTTTTAGTTTTCAACATATAGCCATTGCTGGATCTTTAAGAGTATTACTCTTCAGTAGAGAGTGGCAGCACAGCAACGATTCTTATACTTGAAGATTTGATATACCAAACATCTCAGTTGGTGGAATAAAAACACGTTTCTCCCACTGTACCTGAGTAGTGATAACAGAAAAGTTTACCAACATTATCAACAATCTCCTGAGAAGCGTTGGAGTTTTTTCAAACATTTATAGAGTCGCCAAGATTAGGACTTTTGGCTAGAGCCTGAAAGAACTTCAATTTTCCATTCTTGAACAATGCCAAAGTGGTTTCGCAACCACTCATTGCACGTAAAAAATGTTACCGGCAATTATTTAACTTACAGCAGGCATATCAGTCACCAACAAGATAACCAGCTTTCTTGAGATGGTGGTCACTGCATCCAGAGATAATGGTGTGAGTTTTGAGTGACATCAGTTGATGTCCATTGCCGCCTCTCTCGGTACGCTCAATCGCGATATTGTATCACTAATATATCGTTATTTTCCAATATCTTCACTTCCTATACTATGCCTTATTGAACATGCTACCGCGCAACATGCCATACCTCCCTATTCCTATTCATATATTTTTTCAACCTATTGCTAAGTTCCCTCTCGCCATCCTCATCTATGGTCGCGGTCACTTCGGCTGCTCCATACCAAAAACACAGTAACCAACATTCTTTTCGAAAATGTGTTGCACTAACTTTTGCATATACTGCAGACTATTGCATAAAGCCGCACCTTTAAAAACGATTTATTTGTGAATATATTTAGTATATTGAATGACCTCTCGATCATAAATCCAGTATCCACACACCGAAGGCTAAATAAAAACGGAACTAATTTTCTGAAGACAATTGGTTTTTCACTTACTGTGTTTTGGAATGGAGCAGGCGTCTTGCCATATCCACTCAGCCGCCCTTCCCAAGGTCCCCGCCCTCTTCTCCACCTCCAGTCCAGGCACACTCGTCCGAGCCGCGGTCCAGACGCATCCTCAGGCTCCTTCTCCTTTATGCTTCGTTTCTGTGTGAGCTCACCAAAGCGCTCTTTCTGGCCACCGACCCGCCTACAATGCACAGAAACACGCTTTTAAGCTGCCATAAAGCTCGCTTGACTATTTAAACCTCCATCTGGATTGTGAGACGCGCCTCGACTTGAGGCTGAGGCGGGTGGTGGCGGGAGAGGAGTTTCGGAGCAGCTGCGAGTTGGCGATTCTGTGGGCGAGCCTTCTCTCATGTGCACTTCTAATGTCGAGCGCAGAGGAGGCTTTTGGGGCTCGTTTACCAGGTACACCTGGTTTACCTGCTTGTCGTGACGAGCAAGTTGACGGAAGCGACAAGTAAAGTCAGCTATTGGGATGAGGGAACTCCAATAAAATGTAACAATAGTCAGTACATGTAAAAATATTACATTTTTTAGTGGAAATATGGTGGGTTTTGTGACGTCTTGCATTATTTGTCGTAACCTAGTTTCCATTTGTCTTCTGCTAGTCGTTTTCACTGTTTTCTCAACCCCACCTTATTCAAATTCAAATTATTATTAGGGTCTACTCACAAACCCTCTTTGCCAACAGTATTTTGCCGCTGATGTTCGTACTATAATAACAGTTTTGATGTGCATCTATTACAGGAGGGCCAATACCCATTTGTTTTCTTATTTTATCACATTTTAATCTCATCGTACAACACATCTCATCTACATCTCATCGCAGAACACATTACTTCTTCAGTTCATCAGATATCCCTTCGTTTCCGTAATTGTGGATTGCTTAAAATATGTTGGCAACCACACATTTATAATTTCATCATTTTAACTTCAGCACTCATCACTCTGCCAGCTTCATTTCCTTTTCTGAAAGATGTTTTTTGTGTTAATATGAAAATAATACGTTACAACAACATGCCATTGCAGCTACTCAGAAACTATGAAAAAGGCAATTCTCTCAAATACAAGGTTAGGAAATGTGATATAAAGGGAAATTAATGTTTTCTTGGGTAAATTATTCTAGTGCGAAATAAAGACTTGTTTGATATTTTCTTGAATCTTTGCGTCTCGAATACATCCTTCGCTCTACCTTTCATGATTTCATCTTTTCGAAGACAATTTACACAATGTATTAAGAAACTTAACGTTTCAAATGTTTTATATTATCAACAAATATGTACGATATGTTATACAGAAATTGTTGCTTTCTATTTGAAACATTTATTAGAACAATTGTGGTTTAGCTATATTTCATTCATCTCTATTTTGTCAACACATTAAGTCAATGTTTATTAATTTCCATTCCGCGTACAATGTTATCGGAAATAAAAACACAATAATGCTTTGTTCTCCTATGATTACGTCCAGACAGAAATAAATTATCTACGTTAACAAACGAGAAGAAAAGTATTGAAAATCATCAAACAAATGAAAAGCAATGAGTCATTGTACTAACAATATATTCACGTATTTTATTTATTGGAAATCACAAAACAAAAATCGCATCAGCCGTCATATTAAACTTTTATTTAAAAACTGCTGTAGAGCTTTCCCATCCATCCAGTGCAAGGGATTAACGTTCTTCAATTTCACTAAACAAATGCGACGCGAGTGGCGGTGATGAGGGTGCGCGAAGTGTCGCTGGGTCTCATTTCATTGGATTCTTAGTACTACAGTTACGGGCGCTTCTGCAGCACATCTGAAGGGCGACCTCAAAGCGGGCACGGTTATCAGCATCACCACGCAGTCACCTGATGCAATAACTTTTCGTTCACTGTTGATACGAGTGTTTGTGACACGGGTTGCATACTCGGGTCGATTTGCACGACAAGTGGTACACACACTATAAAAAAAAGAAAACATGTCTATACATTTCGTTTCTCTGTTCGTTGTTGTTATTTGAGCAATATCAGAACAGAATGTTCTCTAGCAACAAAGAAGATTAGGAATGGATGGCAAACATAGGCAAACCAGTATATTATGTGTCATCGATCGCATTCAATGCAGATACAGAAGGGTGCATGGTGTGATGATCCCCAAACCGATCTTTTTTGGTAATTTTACTGAATATAATTAAACCCATTAACACCTATCGATAGCATTATATGCAAAGGAATATTTTCATTATGAATACACGAGTGTTAAGGCAGAAATCATGGGAAGGTTCTTTTTAAAGAAATATCGAATAACTCATTTTATTTGTCGCATGTATGAAATGCTGTACTAATGTGTGTTCACAACAACATGTGGATATGTGTCTCTATTAGCAAAGAGAGAAACGCGAAATCAGTTGTCTGACCATAGCCGTGCGAAATGAATGTAACCAGTTTCGAACAGTGTTCTTACACTAAAGTAGTCGTTCTCCTTGAGAGAAATGCCCGAATATGTCACAGGGAATTGGTGGAAGCTCTTGGGAATAATACATTCTTGGCTATCCAGGGTGAGCCGCGTCTCGGTCAATTGTGCAGCAGTATAGCTCTGAAGAAGGTCACAGCAAGATGGCCGAAACGTCAGTCCAATTGACCGAGACGCAACTCATCCCGGATAGCCAAGAATGTATTGACGACGGCCGCGGAAGCCTACGAACGCATATCTTGGGAATAATGCTCTTCCACACCGGGCAGTCGCGAGATGGGCAGGAGAGAGTCTGCGAGGGCGCGTAGGAAGCTGCAATCAGTCACGCACGTGACGACCTGTGAGTGTGCGGACAAATGTGGCACGTGCGGTAGTCGAGGATCTGCCAAATCGGGCCTTTAGAACGGGTATGTAAAGTAATGATATCTTAATAAATATTAAAAACAGAAATTTTGCGTGACGTTGAATGTCCTCGTCCTTAGTTCATATCTTGTCATTTTATATGTATATTTCACATTTTCCACCCGCGTTCATGTTCTCACAAAAAGTTGTTACCATGCTCCAACCGTATCACATATTTTTCTAGTTTAAATCCAACACTCATTTAAAAAAAAATATCGAGAGGAGGCACCAAGCTTACTTTCACATTTTTCGCCTGGTCAGAGAACACATTCAAAAGGTCAGTTTTGTTTCGAGGGAACATGTCTTACACAACTGTTTCACCAACAAAGAAAGCAGCAAAATTTGTGTTCCTTTATTGTGGACCTATCAGTATAGTTATTTCAAAAAACTTTAAAGTTGCTTTCGAATTTCTACAAGACACTACAAACTTTTTAGCAAAAAATAAAGTGTTTTTTTTAGAAACCCTGAGCGAATTCTTTCTATGTTACACGTACTAAAAGAATGATATATCTGGGGTTAATATTCATATCTTTTTAGATTATTTACCAACAATTCCGTTGCATCTTTTCAAAAATCAACACAGCTTACTAACTCGACAATATCGACACTTTCTATGGGGAAGTCTATGCGAAATAGGCCGAATAACATACTCAAGGTCCGAAAAAACAATTTCTCTCTTTTGTTTGTTGCTTACTCTCACATTAATTGAACAAAAGAAGCAATCATCACTGCGATTTCGTAGCTCAGGTCGCATCATAGGAATTCCGAAACGAAACGATTCGTTTTTATCTTTAAACGGCAAACGCAGAACTTCTTCACGTTCTGAACAGACGTTATGAGGAGTCCAGATTTTCTCTTTATCACACAATTGCAGTCCAAAACAATCTAAACAGAATTTATTTTGTAACTCATTTCTGAGTTGCTTTTTAATAACATATTCTTTACAAATGGAAAAGAAATGTTTCAGTGAATTAACAAACATAATTTTGAATTCGCAGGTTGGTTGGGTCTGTTAATTAATAAGTATTTTTCAAGTCTCAGAGGTATGTGCACAAAAGTGAAGACTAATAATTGAAATACCGAGGTAAAAAAATATGTTGCGACTATTCCAGAAATATTAAATCTCACACATCATCGTACACTTTACCGGTCTCAATGTTCGAGGCAAGATAAGGTAGCTGATGCAAAGGAAAATAAAACTCGAATAACTCATTTGGTCTAAACCTAATAATAACATTACTGTTAATTAGTCGGCTTACCGGTGAACTACAGCAGAGTAATTTTCAAAATAAATAAATAAAAAAACCTTTAAGTGAAGGAGAAAATTCAAGTCATTTTCGGTTTCAGCTCATAAAGAGACTTTAGATTTACTCAATTGGTTACAGACTTGTGCAATTTCTGTCTGAATATTGTCCTCTTCCAAATTTCGGTTATTGCGCGGAAGATGATAAAAATTCTTACGATGTCGAAAATGGTACGATGCAGTCTACGTTATGACAAAATATGCAGTGATAGATACGTTAAGGGAAGAGAGATTCAGCTAACCACAAAACTGTTAATTATCTCCAAAAGTTTCGTGGGCATACTTCAGAACGTATTTTCTTACAAGCGTTTCATGTCATCATTTCTACTCCAGGCAGTTTTCGCCACATTCAATTATTAACAATGTTGCATATCCGAGGTACATAATTTGACTTGAAATGAATATTGTGTAGTCAACGAAGTGAATTCAAATATGTTACTTCAGACCACTTTGTTTAATTTTGAAAACATTGGCGTCACATCAACAATCAATGGAACAATTACGTAAGTCAAAAGCGGAGGGTACTGCACAATACATGTAGCCTTCATAAGGCTATGTACATCGTAACGATTTCTCTCTTGTATCAGAAATTAATACTGTAAAGATGATCATTATCGGTGAAGTTAATTCTACAGTGAACGTTCTTTCAAGACGTCAATTTCAAATAGAAGGCACAGTAGTATTTCAGAAGCGATTATTTGTATTGTATTTTAAAATGAAGCAATTTAACAAAACATTCTAAATGAAAGAAGAAAATTGATACAAGAAATAAAGAAAGAAATTCGAAAATTAACAAAAACTGGAATAAGAACACAAGATATGAAGAAAAGAACATAAAATGAATTGGATACAATAATGTGATTTGGTTCAAAAGAGAAAAAAATATTTTCTAGCAAATGTTGCCGTTCACAAAATTGCGTCTATATTTCATGACGGTTACGTAAGAAATTTCTCTAACGCTCTCCACAGCCTCACCTTCCCCGCCCCGCACTTCTCAACCCGCGATCGCTCCCGATCAGGTT